AAAAAAAGATGACTGCTAAAAAAACATTCAAGAGAACTGGTAAGCCAGTCAAACCAAGTGTGCCTGGCCCACCGTGTGTGCTTGCTAGGCCTTTGTCTGTCCTGGCAGGCCTTTCTGTCCTGCCTGCCCACCCTGTGCCATCTCAACAACCTCCTAGTGGCCAAGGGAGGCTGCTCTGCCATCTGGGAAGGAGGGGAGAACTAGCCTGCTCTTTTTCATGTTCCCGTATCTTAGTTTTCACTGTTCTGCTCGCCTGGAGTGCTTCATCCCTGAGGCTATTTTTGTCCTGAGGCTATCCCGTTTTTCTTAGGGCCCAGCCCAGTTGTCACTTCCGCTTTGAAGCCACGAGTCAGAATGGCTCATTTTTTCCTGGGTTTCCGAAGTTCTAGCGCTTGCCTCTACTAAAGCACAAATCACACCATTGTTATCGTGTTTCTGAATCTGTCCCCTGAGTCTCCAGTGAGCCTTTTCATGGGAGAACTCCTCTTAACTTATGTTTTCATCTCTCTCAGGGTCTAAGCTGGTGCTTGGCATATACCAAATGTTTAATGCATATTTTGCTCATTTTTTCTTGGAGGGGCAGAGAGAGACCCCCTCCCCTCCATCTGCTGGTTCATTCATCAAATGCCCAGGAGCCTGGCACTCTATCCGGGTCTCCCACGTGGGTGGCATGGACCCAAGTACCTGAACCGTCACCACTGCCTCCCAGGGTGGGCATTAGCAGGAAGCAGGAGTTAGGACTGAAATCCAGGCCCTCCGATATGGGAAGTGGGTGTCCCAAATGGCATCTTAACCGCTGTGCCAAGTGCCTACCCCTAATAATTTTTTTAAATGAATGCATGACACCAACTACTGATTCCTAAGGCTTTGGTTGGAATAGCCAGCAGCGTGGGTCCAAGTCCAAGGACGCACTTGGCTTGCATGTTGGGTGAAGGTGCTATCTGGATGGGAGCCAGTCCTCAGGGCAAGTGCACAAGCTGCGCCATCCTGTTCCTTAGACTGTGTGTGGCTCCGTTGCCCATGCAGCCCAGCCTCTGATGGCACACCCAGGCCCCCTAGTTGTTTACTCGTGATAGAATCCAACCTGGCTTGCTGTGTTGGCAGCTGCGTGATTCATGTGGTGAAATCGTGCCGAATTCAAGGCTGGGCTGTGGGGGCTCCTCCTGAGTTTGTCTTTCTGTGAGTTGTTTGATGGTACTAATTTTTAACGGTACAAATGAACTGTTTTCCTTTCAGCGGTTACTGGACAAAAAACCTGTGGGCCTTCGAAGAAGAAATCCAGTGACACAGAAGATGAAGAAAAGCAGACTGGGTAGGTTCTGCTTGTGCCCAATTGAACAGGAAGTGATTTGTGCAGTTGTCACCTAGTCCACTGGGCAGTTGGGGTGATGGGATGAAGGCGGAGTCTGGTCGGGTGGAGGGAATAGGTTTCCATCTCTGAGTGGGCGGTTATAGTCTGGGAGGATGCCCACCCCCACCCCCTGGCTCCCCCCTCCCCGTGTGTGAACTGCAGGTTGGATGTAGGTGTTCTGCCAGGATCCCTGTAGCTGCATGGGCTGAGTGGGGCCCTTCTGTTCTCATAGTAGCTATGGTCTCTGAGATTTTCTTTGCTCTTAAACTCAGGTCAAAGAATGCTGTGTAGCCAAATAAGACACTTTTTTTTCAGGCTGGCTATAGCCTCGCAGTCATCAGTTAGCACTAAATGGATGTGATAAGAAGGCAAAGTCGTCATATTCCAGTCCTTTGGAATTAGGAGGGAAATCAACATTTCTTTTAAAGGTTTTCCCACTGCTTTGGATGACCACTTACTCTTACTATTGTGTGTATCCTTCTGACGATTAAAAGCTAAAATTAAGGATGCAAATGGATTGTTTGTTTTTATTTCATTAAGCTTTATGTAATTGATATTGAGAACAAGTTGATCATTTAGACCAAAGACATGTTAATATTTAAAGAAAAAAAAATTAACCTGTTTTCTCATTTAGATTCCAGAAACTTCGTACTTTTTCCTTTAAAACTGTGATATAGTAAGCACAATTTTCTTTGTTTTTCCTTTCACTGAAGAGTTATATAGACTTAGATTTGAATTAGCTTAGGAGACAAGGAATGTGGGTGGAGGACTGTGTGTTATTTTTGTAACCTGTGCATCTTAAGGGAAGGGCAGAAGGATGATGTGCCAGGCTTTGGGGCAACAGAACAACTTGGACTTGAGCAGGAAGTCTCTGTGTGTCTCTGCTTTTTGCAACTAGCAACAGCAGCAGCTTGTTGGGGACTGTGTGAGGCAGACCCCCGTTCAGTTAGGTTTCTTCTCTGGATCCCTAGATAAATGTTGAAGCTGCTTCGGTCCAGGGGGATGTATGTCTTTTGTAGCGAAGCGCCCAGGTTGCTTTTGCTAGCCAGTGTGACAAAAGAAGGGAGAAGCTGTCCCTTGGGGGTCCTTGTCTGTTGCCGTGGTACTTCCCGTGTCAGTCTAGAGGCTTCCTGTTGTGCTTAGCCTTGTTCTTGTGGAGCTTGTTTGCTGGTCATGGTGTCTGATGTCACCAGTGTGGGGTCTCGTTGGTTCCTCTGATGTGGGGCACTCAGCTTGGAGCGCAGGGGCACGAGTTTCCAGGTGCAGATAGGCTAAGTGCCAAGGCCGGCTTTCCCTGAGCATGCTCACAGGGCTCACACTTGCTGCCAAAGCCTTCCCCATGGCTGGGGATTTCATCTGCCACCTCTTCTGATACAACTTTGCTTTCAAAGACCTGCGCCGGGAGGCAGAACTGTGTGAATCACCTGTAATCAGGCTTCAGGATGAAGAACCTGGTGTTGGCCTTGTTTGCCTTGTCTGGTGTTTTCCTTTTGCCCTACGCAAACCTGCTCATGTAGGGTTTGCTTGGTGACTTAAAGGATTAACATGTGTTCTCGCAGAGTCCCAGACTCAGGAGAGAGGCAGAAAGTCACTGTGCCTGCTCCTGATTTCATCATCTTTCTGGACTTGGGGATCGTTCCAGACAAGATAAAAATACTTCTGTTTAAAGAAATCATTTTTGCAGGCATGAGTCCTCTATGTGCTCAACACTAGATTCTGTGCCATTTGAATCAGGCCTTGAAAGATAGGGCAGCAATTGTGGGATCATGGTGAGACCATGAGGTTCAGGACAGAAGGTTCCTTGTCTCTGAGACCCGTGGGCAAGTCACTTAGCGTCAGCTCCCTCAGTTGTGAAGTGGAGATGGTCCAAGTTGTGATAGCTTCTTGGAAGGGTGATTGTGAGGATTAAATATGATAATGCAAAAGGAAGTTCTTTGCCAATGGTCAAGCCCTCCACAGATGGTCGTTTGACATTAAGGTGGAGATAGGTGTGTCATACTAGGCTATGGGAAATAGAGGTTATGCTGAGGCGTGGGTGTGAGAAATCACCATTGATGTCTTGGAAATTGCCCACTTTGGCCAAAGTGGAAATGGTAGGTGGAAGTAGCAGTTAGGGCTGGGTTGGTCTATGTTTTGAACGCCAGGTCAAGCAGTCCATGGAAAGGCAGAGGGGGATATTCGTTGGAAGATGCAGATGAGGAAAATGAATCTGGAGGGGTGTGTGTGTGTGTGTGTGTGGATTAGCAGAAAAAGAGCCTGGATTTAGGGAACACAGTTTAAGGACTGCTGTCATGGCAAGGCTTGAAGTAGAGGATGGCAACTTGAACTAGGGTGGTGACAGTGAGGACAGGCAGGAAGGGCTGGAAAGAAGATCTAATGTGTGGGAGCTATCGGTGTGTCTCCGTGCCCAGATGAATATGGAGTAAGAGAAAAATGAATTTAAAACGCCTCTGAGGTTTGCGGCCTGTGATGTCATCGAAGAACATTGTGCTGGAGATACCTCGTGCTAGTAAGTTGGAAATTTGCATTGTGCGATTGTAAATTCAGAACCGGATCTCGGGAGAAAGCTTGAGACTATAGCTGTTACATAGTGAGGATCAGTCCAGTAGAGATTGAAACCATGGGCCTTCCACCTCTGAGAATGTGCAGAGTGAAGACAAATCTCTGTGTGTGAATGGAAGCCTGGGAAATGTACTCATCTGACGAGTTGGAAGGAAGAGGGGCAGCAAGTGTTTAGTTTCTTTTGATGTGACCTTTATATGCACGCCATTTCTTCAGCTATACCAAACTGAGTTGAATTCACTTTTGCAGGAAAACTAAGTGCAACATACCTGGATGTTTCTTGCTGGAACTTGAGACTGAAAAACGCTACACTGGAAAGAATTTCAAGAAAAACAAGGACGAGCTAGCCTGGAAAATCTATGACCTCCTTAACCTCACTGTCTTTGATCAAAAGGTAGAATCAATGCGTAAATGCATGTTGAGCACCTGCTGAATGCCAGAACTCTAGGGTGCTGTGTGGTGGGCTAACCATGGATACTTGTGTCCGTGAGTGCTGTCAGTTTAGTAGGGAAAGGAGACATGCATATGTGAAAGAAATCGAGAATGTTGATTGATATGCTGTATGGGACAGATTGTATTACCAGAGTAGATCAGCAGAGGGAGAAATACCTGAGTGCCTGAGTAGTCAGGAATTAAGATTGTCTCAAGGAAGTGAGATTTGTTCCGATCCTTCAAGGATGGTAAGTAGTAAGAACAGCAGTGAGAGGGGAGAGCACATGTGTTGAGGCTTGACTGTCTGGAAGAGAGGGTTCATGTTGAAGGGGAACCGGAAGGAAAGAGCTATGTGAGTTGGGGCAGGGCAGGTTAGTTAACCTCAGTTTGTTTGTTTTGTTTTGTTTTGTTTTGTTTTGTTTTGTTGTTTTGTACTATGGGAATGATAACAGTTCAGTCTGCCCATGAAGGATTGATTGGTTCCAGGACCCTCCCCCTTCCCTGCCAGACCCCCCTCCCCCAAATCCGTGGACACTCAGATCTCTTATAGAAAATGATGTAGTATTTGCAGATGGCCTGTGCATGTCCTCTGGTAGACTGTGAATCAGCTCTTGATTGCTTAGAATCCTTGATACAATGCAAATGCTATGTAAGCAGTCGTCAGACTGTCTTCAGGGAGAAAAGTCTGTGCATGATCGGTGCACATGTCGTGTTCCCCATCTATGGTTGGCTGTGTCTGTGCGTGTGAAACTCGGAAATACAGAGGCCAACGGTGCTGACTGCCTCAGAATTCTTATTGGGCTCTGTAAATTGATACCCATGAAGTGCCTAGAACAGGGCCTAGGGCATAGGAAGCTCTTATTGTCATGTTCTGATAGCATAGCACCAGAATAGTGGAGGGCCTTGGGCACCGGGTTGGAGGAGGTTAGACTTAAGTCAGCAAGCACTGCTGCCTCGGATGGGATGTGACAGGAGGTGACTGGCTCAAAGAAATTAATCTGCCAATACCTGGGATATGGGCTGGACTGCAGGCCGTCTGGAGGCAGAGACCTTTTGGTCATCAAGGTTTTCAGGCTTCATCCGCTCTGGTGACAAGACTTTCTGGAGAGGAGTTCTCATATCTTCGTGAAGGTTCCCCAGCCTTCAGTGGCCTCCCTGATGACACTGGTGTTACGTCAGATGAGCAGATTCTGGAGCCTTGCCACTCTTACGTAGACGTGTGCGTCTCGTCCACCTCAGCAGGCCTGTATTTCTCTCTCTTGGCTACCCCAGACTTATCTCTGTGCACAGAGTGCAAACCCTACGTTCACAGAGTCTCAACGGTCTCCCTTGTGTCCTGTTTGGCTTTTAATTGTCTTTACCTGGCCTTCAGTTTGGTTTTTAGTCTCCCCCAAGACAGGTTAGATCTGTGTGCCCTGTGAATAAATTTCTTCTCCAACTTGCTCTGCACCAGGAACCTGAGGTGGGGGTGGGGAGGAGGGAGGAGTTCCTCTGACTTGTTATTGGAGGGGGAGAAACAAACTTTTGCCTGACTATTTTCTGGACCGCCTAGAACGGCTTTCTGATTCCTTCCATTTGCTTTTCACTCTCAGCTGCCAGAGAAGTTAGACATCGGCTGGAACAAGAAGATGCTGAGAACCGCTGGCTTATGCAGCACTGGCGAGCTACAGTACCCCGAGAAGCGCCGCTTCGCCAAGATTGAGATTTCTCTGAAAGTCTGCGACTCTGCAGGTGATCGCAGTGGTGTGGCGCTGTTTTCTTAGGAAACTGCTCCTGTTACGTTAACCTTAGCGGCAGCCTGTGTCACAGCTGGAACTGTCATTCCCTGGGGAAGCGGGGGGGGGGGGATGTTGCTTAGATGTATGATTACTGGATGTCTCAGCCTCCTTGTGAATCCAACTCATCGATTTTTCTATGAGGCCTGCCTCGCTCGCTGCCTTGCCAGTGGCAGCCTCTTGATTGTCTCAGTAGCTGAGATGCATGGTCCCCTCTATCTAGCCAGTCACCAGATCACCATTCACAGTGACACTCCTGTCATCATTCCTTCTCTACCCATGCCTTTGTGCTCGGGTGCAGGTCCTCACTGCCTCACCCTTCTCCCTGCTCGGATGCGTCTCCCACGTGCCACTGCATTGCTCTCCTCATGAGGAACTGAGGGCTTCTCAAGGCCTACGGCCTGGCTTTTAAGACTGTTGTACTCATCCCTGCTCCACGTGGCCAGCCCTGTCTCCCACTTACTCCACCACCAGCCTGTACTTCAATGAGACCGTCTTCACATCAGCCCCCAAAATGTTCCCCACGCTTTCTCAGCCCTTCCCTATGCTCACATTTTCCATCACCCCCCCTACCACCACCCTGGAATGGCCTCTCTAAACTCTGCAAATCTAGTTGCTTGTTCAGGGCCCAACTCTCATCCCAGTCTCATTGTAGAACGTCTCCTGACCAAATGCCATGCCCCTAGCAACTGGCCCCTATCCTGTTCCAGAAACCGCATGACACCCAGTGTATTTCTAGCAGCACCCCTCAAAAAGATGAATAGCTGGGAGCTGCTCCACAAAGACCTGCTCACCTCGGGTCCTCTGCCATGAACAAAGTCAGGTTGAAGTGTGGGGAAGTTTCACTTTCAGAATCCTGGGAAGGTAACAGCCTGCCTAGCTATGCTTCTGTAAGGCAGCTCTCTGTGTCCGTTGAGCGTGTGTGTGTGTGTGTGTGTGTGAAAGTTTAGGGGTTGTCGGGTAAGCAGACCAGAAGAGAAACGGGTTTTTCCCTACTCACAATGTCTCTTCATTTCTCTTTCAAGACCGACTCCGTGATACTTTGATCCATGAACTATGCCACGCAGCCTCCTGGCTGCTCGACGGAACCCGTGATTCTCATGGTGATTCGTGGCAGTATTATGCCAAAAAAACCAACATGGTACACCCGGAGCTGCCCAAGGTCACCCGTTGCCATAACTATCAAATTAACTACAAGATCCTTTATGAATGTACTCAGTGCAAGTCCAGGTAAGCCCGTTCTCCTCTGATTTTTTTTTTCCAATTACGGCTTTATTGTGGCCTCCAATTGACTTTTCAATGATTTCTGTGGGCAAGAAAATGGTTGCCTGACTTGAGGAGTGAAACACTCATTCCCTATTTCCTTTCTCCCTTTCTTCCTTCCTTTTTAAAAAAAATTATTTATTTATTTATTTGAAAGGGAGAGTTACAGAGAGGCAGGGGCAGAGAGAGAAAGAGAGATCTTCCTCCACAATGGGTGGAGCTGGGCCGATCCAAAGCCAGGAGCCAGGAGCTTCTTCCGGGTCTCCCATGTGGGTGCAGAGGCCCAAGAACTTCAGCCATTTTCTACTGCTTTCCCAGGCCATAGCAGAGAGCTGGATTGGAAGTGGAGCTGCCAGGACTCGAACCGGTACCCATATAGGATGCCGGCAGTACAGGCAGTGGCTTTACCCACTATGCCACAATGCCGGCCCCTCTTCCCTCATTTGATCCTGCCTGACCTATGCTGCTGCTTGGTGCCCCTGCCTACTCTGAAAACCCACAGAACATCTTTTGTGTCCAAGACCAACATCTCAGAGCCGATGCTGAGGCACAGTGACTGATTCCTTTCTTGTGTGGTGTCCCTTTCCTCTGCAGAGTTGGCCGATACACCAGATCACTGGACACCAACCTCTTTATCTGTGCCAAATGCAAGGGAACCCTCGTCATGCTGCCATTGACCCGGAAAGATGGAACCCCCATCCGTCCCCATGTGAGGCCATTTGCCAAATATGTGAAGGAGAATTATCGAATCATTTGTAAGTCAGTAGAAGGGCTTACCCATGGGGATGTGATGAGAAGGCTCAGCAAGGATTATGTTGCCAAAAAACAACAGCGAAATACTTAAAGTGACCCGATAAAGTACATTTGTGTGTGAGTTGGATCCTTTATTCATGAGATGTTTTTAAAAAAGCTCTGTTTCTGTGAAGTTGGGAATGTTAGCATTTGTGTACAGTTAAAAAGATTCATGGTGTGATGATTTTCATGTCCAGGGTTGCATTGCTGGTCATTTTGTTGTCCCCTTAATGGTACTCTGAAGCCCTGTGGATCCACATGGGTCTTACTTTAACTCTATAGCCTTAGTATGTGTAAGAAAATGCAAAGAAAATGGAGATTTGGGGAATGGTGGGGTGGGAAGATGAGGATGGTCTAGGAAGAGAGCAAGTTTGAAGGGCAGTACACTTCAAAACCATGGCTGCTGTCATCTGTAACCTGTGTTGCCTACTGAAAAGTGCAAAACATGATATGGAAGATAAGTTTCATGAACTTAATTGCTGATGGTCTTGAGTAAAGCTACCTAAGTCATGTGACTGTTCATCAATTCAAATAAAGTTTTAACAAAAATGCTCTTTTTTGGGTCCTTTTCTGCATCTCACATGATGGCTCAGTCTGTTCACACTGATCCTCTGTGCCTAGAGTAGAACGAACCCTCACATCTTTTGTGCAACACCCTGGGCATCTGAAGCCCTTCGGGATGTGTCTAGGAAATGCTCTCCATTCTGTGTTGCCCTGATTTCTGTGGCTGCCGCCAACTACTTCAGCCACCTCCCTGCTTCTAGGAGATACCAGGACTGGAATCACCATTCAATTTGTTTGGCTTAAAACAGCACATTATGTATTATCTTCCAGTTCTGGTGGTTAGGAGTCTGGCATGGGTCCTCCTTGGCTAAAAATCAAGGCATTCACAGGGCTGAATTCTTTTTTGGAGGCTCTCATGGGAATCTGTTTCTTTTGTCTTTTCCAGATTCTACAGGCCAACATATTCCTCAGTTCATGGCCCCTTCCTCCATTTTCCACCTCTGCAACCTCTCTCTCTCTCTCTCTCTCTCTCTCTCTCTCTCTCTTTCCTCTTCTGCCTCCCTCTTCCACTGCTGAGGACCCTTATGATGACATTGGGCTCAATGCCCAGGAGACTCTCCTTACTTTAAAGTCTGCTCATTAGCAACCTTAATTCCCCTTTCACTGTGTAAGGCAACATATTCATGAGTTCTGGGGGGTTACTGTGTGCATGTCTTGAGGGGCCCAATTTTTGTTCTGCCAAACATCTTTGCCAGTCTAGCATCAGTGATAGATTTTAAAGGCAGGATGTGTTACTCTGTTGTTTTCTGTCCTTTGATTGTACAGAACTTTAGAGTGTTCTTTTAGTGGCCACAGACTCCTAACCACAAGACCAGATGGGATTTGGTGTGTGAAGAGGGCAGAGAGAGCTTTTCCAGCCAACTCCTCAGATTCTGCCTCCCTGTTTCACCTCTAGCCATGTTTGAAGTCTCAGCAGGGGCCCAGCTGGCCTGTGAAACTAGACCTTGGCACAGGCATCATTAGGGGGAACTGAGAGTGCAGTGGGTCCAACCCATCAGCCTTTGCCTCAACACGGCCGTCCTGTCACCTGCTCTTCTGGGAAGCCCTGGTTATTTCCTCCACTCACATCCACCCTAGCAGTTAGCTGTGTGAGCATGCTTCCTACAGTGCAACTCCAGGGGCTTGTGTGCTAGCAACTGTGGGCAAGTTGTCTGGCCTTGTTGCTTTTCTTTTTTTTTTTTTGAGTTAAAATTCCCTGCTTTTATTTTTTTTAATAAATGTAAATTTACAAAGTACAACTTTTGCATTGTTGTGGCTTTTTCCCCCATAACCTCCCTCCCACCTGCAGCCCTCCCATCTCCCACTCCCTCTCCCATCCCATTCTTCATCAAGATTCATTTTCAATTATCTTTATATACAGAAGATCAACTTAGTATATACTAAGCAAAGATTTCAACAGACTGCACCCACACAACCGCACAAGATATAGAGTACTGTTTGACTAGTAGTTTTACCGTTAATTCTCATAGTACAACACATTAAGGACAGAGATCCTACATGGGGAGCAGGTGCACAATGACTCCCGCTGTTGATTTAACAATTTACACTCTTGTTTATGATGTCAGTAATCACCCGAGGCTCTTGCCATGAGCTATCAAGGCTATGGAAGCCTCTTGAGTTCACCAACTCTGAACTTATTTAGTCAAGGCCATATCACAGTGGAGGTTCCTTCCTCCCTTCAGAGAAAGGTGCCTCCTTTGATGGCCCGTTCTTTCTGCTGGGATCTTGTTCACCAAGATCGTTCATTTAGGTCGTTTTTGCCACAGTGTCTTGGCTTTCCATGCCTGCGAGACTCATGGGCCTTTTAGCCAGATCTGAATGCCCCAAGGGTTGATTGTGAGGCCAGAGTGCTGCTGGCCTTGTTGCTTTTCTTCCAGCCCACTGCCATTTCCCTACTAACAGCCTGCATCACCTGCCACCTGAATAACCAATACAGTTTTGTTTTAAACGGTAGACTTTTAGTTTTTAAAGATTTATTTATTTATTTGAGAGAATTACAGAGAGAGAGAGAGGGAGAGGCAGAGAGATCTTCCATCTGCTGGTTTACTCCCCAAATGGCTGCAATGATCTGAAGCCAGGAACCAGGAGCTTCTTCCAGTTCTCCCACATGGATGCAGGGGCCCAAGCACTTGGGTCATCTTCCACTGCTTTCCCAGGTGCATTAGCAGGGAGCTGGATCAAGAGTTGAGCAGCCAGAATGCCAACCGGTACCCATATGGGATGCCTGCACCATACGCGGAGGCTTACCCTACTATGCTGCAGCATTAGTCCCCAATACAGCTTTCTGATTGGTCTCTGTGATTCCATCACCTGATCCCATGCTATCTGTCTGTCTTTTTTAAAAGATTTATTTATTTATTTGAAAGAGTTACAGAGAGGCAGAGGGGGAGAAGGAGAGAGAGAGAGAGAGAGAGAGAGAGAGAGAGATCCACTGGTTCACTCTCCAAATAGCTGAACCAGTCTGAAGCCAGGAGCCAGGAACTTCTTCCAGGTCTCCCACTTGGCTGCAGGGGCCCAAGGACTCAGGCCATCCTCTGCTGCCTTCACAAGCCGTAGCAGAGAGCCGGATTGGAAGTGGAGCAGCCGGGTCTTGAACCGGCACCCATATGTGATGCCGGCACTGCAGGCAGCAGCCCCAACTATCAGTCTTATTTTTGCCTCTTCCCCTGACCTGAACTGCTCATAATTCCTCCAGTAAACACTTCAGTTTTCAGCCTTTGTACGTTTGCTGTTGCCCTCTTGCCTGGAAATACTACCTTTCTTTCCTTCTCCTCTTGGAAACGTCACTTGCCCTTTAAATCTTAAGGAAGCCTCTGGTGTTTTGAGCCCTGGCTTCACTACGTGCTGTTCCTTTGCACTGTGCCATAGGCTGCTTCGTATTGCTCGTTCTCAGCACACCTTCCCTGTTGGCCCGAGCTTCCAGAACCCAGCAACTGTCTTATTTGTATCTGATAGTTCCTTCCCCAAATGAGAATCAGACCGTGTCCAGGCAGTCAGCTGCCTAACTGCTCACCCCGTACCTGTGGACCTGGGTGCTTCCCTGAGTAATAGGAGTGTGCAGGGGAGCAGAGAGAGGGCTGCAGAGACATTAACAAGGGCAGGGTGCGCTGCCACAGACCCCGGCCCAGGCATGGAGAAACAGGAAGTGCATCCCCGGAGCTGAGTCAGGGCTGCCTGTAATAATCACTGCTAACACACCCTGGTCCTGATGATCTCATTTATTGAAGAGTTTTAAGCAGGATTTTAGACACAAAAATAAGCAAATACACAGTTTATGGGGTCCAGAACCATAGTCCCTCCTGAGCTAGAGGCCTGGGTCTCTGTCCCCCAGGGGCTGTTTGCCTCTCGCTCCATGCCTGTGGGGAAGGCCATGTTGTAGTTAGCAAATTAAATGAGCCATGGGGGCTCTGGCAGCCACTTCTGGAGTGGCAGGATTGGGGGGGGGACTAGGCAGCTAAGGAGCGGCGATGGCACAGCTTCCAGAGCCAGGAGGGCGGCTCCCTGGGAGACTGGGTGGTGCTGGGGCTGCCAGGGAGTTCCAGGGGCAAGGCTCTTGGGGCATGCAGAGCAGGCCCAAGCAGAGAGGGAGGAATGTGGCATGTGGGGGCAGGGCAGGCTGCGTGGGTGAAAGGGAGGCCCCATTCCAGCCTCACAGGCCCGAGAAGGAGGCCTCTGTGGTCTCGGACCAGGACGAGTCTCGGCGGAAAGAGGACGGCTGCTGCCTTTGGAGTGCTCTCTGGCCAGGGCAGCCCAGGCGCACCAACAGCATCCACATCCGCTCTCGGAACTTGATGCCCACAAAGGCATAGAGCAGTGGGTTGAGGCAGCAGTGCATATAGCCCAGGCCTGAGGTGACCGACTTGGCCACATCCACATGGCTTTCTCGGCCGCAGTGGCGGGCCAAGGCCCCCAGGTCCATGAGGGTGTCCACCAGCACCACCAGGTAGTAGGGCGTCCAGCAGAGGGCAAAGGCCACCACTACCACCACCACCAGCCTCATGGCCCGCAGGCGCCTCTGGCCCCTGGAGAGCAGCAGCACAGCCAGGATGCGGGCATAGCAGTAGGCCATAACCAGCAGGGGCAGCAGGAAGCCAGCCACCAGCTGCAGGAGGCGCAGAGCCGTGCGGCCCACCTGCGGGAAGCTATACTCGCAGTGGGTGGCTTTGAGCCGCTCGTCGTGGTGAGCCGACAGGAAGATGAAGTCTGGGAGGGCAAAGAGCAGACAGAGCCCCCACACGACCACACAGGTGAGGGCCACACGGGCCCGGGGGCCCCGGCGGTAGAGCTGCGTGGCGTGCACTATGCTCAGGTAACGGTCAAAGCTGATGCAGGCCAGCAGGAGGGCCCCGGCGTAGAAGTTGATGTTGAAGAGGGCGCCAGCCACTTTGCAGAGGCCCGAGCCAAAGACCCACTGGATGGCAGCGTCCACTGCCCAGAGCGGGAGAGTCATCACCAGCAGGGCGTCAGCCACGGCCAGGTGGAGCAGGAAGGTGTCGGTGCTGCTCAGGGCCGCGCGCTGGCTCAGCAGCACGGCGGCCACGGCGCCGTTGCCTAGCAGCCCCAGCAGAAAGAGGAGGCTGTAGAGGGCCGGCAGGAAGGCACGGTCGAAGTTCAGGCTCAAGTCCTGTGGGCAGGGTGGGGAGGTGCAGCAGGAGTCGCTCTCGTTTTCTCCGTAGTCTCCGTACGCAGAGCTACAGTTTTCCAGGAGCATGGCAAAGTCTGAGGCATCCAGCACCTGGCGTCCGCTCACCTGCCGAGGGAGGGGAGGGCCCGCGTGTTTGCCCGTGTCCTTGGCTGAGCGGCTTGCTCTCGGAGCAGCGGCCCCTGCCCCAGGCTCCAGGGAGCCCCCTCATCGGCCGCGCCCTTCTGCCAGGACCACGCCTCCTGAACCCCAGTCGCCAGACTGGTTTCTGGGGGTGGTGACCGCCCTATCTCAAAGGCTGTCTCTCGCACCCTTGTGGGCGTGGGGGTCTTGGGCAGGAGGAAGAGCCTCCCTCTGGGGCCCCGAGCTCTCCAGCTGCTCTCCCCTCTCTCCCTTCACTGCAGGGCCACGCCTAGTTCAGCTACCTCCTCGGCATTTACTTCTTCCCTGTCCCCTCTTCCTACACTGGCCCTCCTCTTCTCTCCTCAGTCGTCGTCTGGGGACGCCAGCTTCCTGCCAACTGTGGGGCCTCTCTATAAATCACTGTAGCCCCCCCCCCCATCTCCGCCAGCTCTGCTTTCTGCCTCTTTCTTCTCCTTCCCTGCACTGAGGTTCGCGCCCTATTTAGCCGCCCACTGGGGGCTCCCCCAGCAGGCTCAAGGAGGAATCTTCTTTGCCCCCTCACCCCTGCCCCCAACCACCCTGGGAGCTGCAGGCTTCCCCAGTGCCAATTCAATCTACTACACAATAGTTAATGGTGCAAGCCAGGGCTAGAGGGAGCCTAGGAGGTCCTTGTAGTTCAGCCAGAATCCCCTGCAAGTTTTCAGATGAGACACCGCAAGCCAGATAGGGGAAGGGACTCGCCCATGGTCAGTGGCCAATCTGGGGTCCCAGTTCCCTGTTTAATGCTCCTATCATAACCCTGCAGCCTTTAGCAGCCCACCCAGCCCTCGGCTACTGCTGAGCCGGAGGCCAGCCCTGGTGCAGCCTAGTACCCTGGCTGTCCACTAGGAGCTGTGTCCTGGCCAGGCTGGCCAGCAGCACTTACCTCCGAGACCATGGCTCCCTGCTGCTCCGGCTGCTGGGCTGTGTGCTGCCTGCCCCTCTGCTTTGGTGCTTGTGGTTGGGAACCTGCGCTACACAGAGGAAGTGAGGTTTTCACGCGGTTCTCTCGGCAGCAGCCTCTTCCAGGGGGTTATCTGCTCCAGACCTCCTCAGCCCACAGACCGTACAATTCCCATCCCAGCCACTCCAGGGGTCAGGCAGAGCCACTTCGGATGTGCCGGCCTTGTGCCTGGGACCAAAAAGGCCAGGTCCTCGGGCAGGGCACAGGGTGGTGGGTGGAGACAGGTCTTTGATGGTGGTGGTGGTGGCGGTGGGAGGTCTGAAGGAGAAGCAACCGAGCTGGGAGGGAAAGGCGGCCCTCTGCCAGGGGCAAGAATTGCTTCTCCAGTCCTGGTGTGGTCAGTGCTCAGTAAATGAGAACTTGGGTTCCCCTGTGCGGGGCTGGAGTTGATCCTCGCCTGTTGGCAAAGCCTGCATCGTGCAGTGGGTTCTGTCTGTACAGGAGATTGCTCTTCTTCCCAAATTAAAATAGTTCAAAGAAATCTATCACAGGAAGTCTAGTTCTTCATCATCCCTCCTCCCCATTAATCAACCGGCCAGGGTCGGGGGGTGGGGGTGGAAAGGAAAGGGAACCTACTGAGTAATGAACTTGCTCTGTGCTAGACGTTGCTTTAGGTGCTTTGTCTGACACTGCCTCATTCCAACCACACGAATCCCTTGTGAGCTGTCCCCGTGGGTGACTGAGAAAGGGGAGAGAGGCCGTCAGCAGCTGCAGGAAGGGAGCAAGAGTGGACGCTGGGATGGATTCCGTGGCTGTCTGGCTCTCCTCTTACCACTCATTAAGCTGCCTTTGGTTTCTTTCAGATCAACTGATATGGTCATGTAGCTGAAACCAAATGAGCCACAGCTACATGGCTGACCAGGCATGTATCTAGAAAACTCAGTGAGCACGTGATGGAAGAGGCGGGTTTACAAAGTGTACAGGGAGGTTGACACCACCTAGGAAAATTCTAAAAACTGCCACAAACAGTAACACTGTGTTGTCTTGGATACGGCTGTTTGTTCTCAACATTTCAAACAGAGACTGAAGACAGCACGAGTTCACAGAGCAGGCGCCTCCGGGGATATGGAAGAGTAGGTAGGGACCTTGAGATTGGCGGCGTTGGTCCAGGCCATCAGTCACTGCAAGGCAGAGTAGCAGAACAGTTGTCTTTCCCATGTTCCCTTGGCACCCACCTTAGCTCTTCTCTCCTCCCCCTCTTGCCCTGTTCTCATTATCAGCTGGCAAACCGCCTCCTCCTAACTTGCCTCTCTCAAACAGTTTTTTTTTTCCACTTTCCCTCTCTCCTCTCAGTGGAAAAGGACAGAGAGAGGGAGGGAGGAGGAGACAGAGGCCAATGTGAACCCGTGCTCTTGGGCCCAGGCCGTTTCCAGCTAAGGCTGGGCCACCAGAGTTCACGCTTTTAGGACACGATCCGCACACACACTTGCCTGGGCTTGAGGCCCTACCGCTCCCTCTTTAGACAGCCGTGACTCCTTGCTGTGGAGTAGCTTGTCACCTGCAGAGTTCGGGCCAGAGGGAACTGCCAGCCCGGAAGAGGTCAGCAGCAGTGCACGTGGAAGGGAGTAGGAGAATTCTGGAAGCCAGGCCAGTTGGGGTGACTGGGACTTGGCAAGTGACTGCTTGTGGGAGTAGAAAGGGGACAGGAGGTGGGACCACAATTTCCCCATGTGGGTTGATAAAGAGGTTTGAGTTCCCGGTGCTTCAGCAAATGACACAAAGTGACCACAAAAAGCTGTATTTGTTCAATCAAAGCACTGTCGTATTCTGCAACTGTGCCTTTCATCCTCTTTTTTGGCATTCAAGAGACATTTTCTTTATGGAAGAAATGATGGTGAAAATAGATGGTAATTTCGGAAATGTCTTGTGTTGGTGGAAGTTGACAAGCCGACATGGCTTTTCCAAACACAAGAGAGTACTTCCAAAAGTTCATGGAAAATGGGATCAAAAGATCAGTTTCGCTGGCGCTGCGGCTCACTAGGCTAATCCTCCGCCTGCGGAGCCAGCACCCCGGGTTCTAGTCCCGGTTGGGGCGCCGGATTCTGTCCTGGTTGCCCCTCTTCCAGTCCAGCTCTCTGCTGTGGCCAGGGAGTGCAGGGGAGGGTGGTCCAGGTCCTTGGGCCCTGCACCCGCATGGGAGACCAGGAGGAAGCACCTGGCTCCTAGCTTCGGATCAGCGCGGTGCGCCGGCCGCAACACACCAGCCATAGCAGCCACTTGGAGGGTGAACCAATGGAAAAAGAAAGACCTTTCTCTCTGTCTCTCTCTCTGTCTAACTCTGCCTGTCAAAAAAATAAAAAAGACCAGTTTCTAGTTTCTTTTGGTGTGAAAAGTTCTGAATTGCATGCATGGCCTTTTTTTTTTTGGACAGGCAGAGTGGATAGTGAGAGAGAGAGAAAAGATAAAAAGGCCGTCCTTTGCAGCTCGTCA